TTTTTGACATTTTTGTCTGGAGGTTGAAGACAACCTCTCTTGGGCTGGGCCTGAGATATTTTTCCTTTTTGCACTTTCATTTTTCACATGCACCCCCCTGGCCCATTTTGAGATATACTTGCCATTTTTTATTTTTTCCTTTTGATTTTGTTTCTATATTTTTATTTAAGCATGAAAAAATATTAAAATTATTTTTCCCACATTTTTTTGCATTTTATTTGATATTTATTTGGTTTTATTTAGTTTTGTACATAAATAAACATATATATACTTTTCTTTAAAATAACTAAAAATAATACAAACACTTTTATTTTCTGATTTTTATTTTATTTTACCTTTGAAAACATTTTATAAAAAAAGTGACTTTTTTTGTAAATATTAAATATTTTATTTTTGTATATATTTAATATATTTAATAAATAATATAGATACTTATATATTTATTAGTCTATTTAGGTTAAAAATATAAAAATAATACATTTTTATTTTTTATTAATATTTAACTTAAAAAAATCACTTTTTGACAATATACTTTCTTTTTATTTATTTTTTACACATAATTAATAAATATTGCATATAATAAATAATTAATACATTTTATTTAGCAAAATTAGGGTTTTGCCCTAAATACCTAAAAATACCAAAAATTAATTCATTTTATTTTTGTTTATTTGACACATGAAAAATACTTTTTACATACATATGAAAATCATTTTTGCATCTTGCATATTTATTTTATTTTATTTAATTATTGTGCAATTAAATACCTTGTAAAATTTCAATTTGGATGTAATAGTTTAGGTTTAATTTCTTGCTAAAATATCCCCATTTGAACATTTGTACCCCCCATCCCATAATTGTGTTGTAATAATTTAGGACCTTTAAATTACGCACTTTAAAAGCTTTCTAAATATGCCATGATAGAATTAGGGTTTTGTATGCAAATCAAAAACAACAAATAGTTTGACCTAAATTCAAGATAAACAAGCATGAAAATGGACAACACTAATCACACTTGCACCCCTAGGGTACTCCACTTGTTGCCTTCAATAATGGGCCATATTGCATGTTAGGTATCTTTGGCAAAAACAAAACAATCAAATGATCATAGTCCCTCGATGACACTTTCAAAAGTTGCCTAAAAATGATCAAGTCCCTTAAAGGAAAAATTGACCAAAGATACTTGGCACCATTGCAACCATGGTCTAAACGATGACCCGCGCCCGTCTGGTTCACATCCTAACACAAGATTGTCCACCAAATACAATGGTGGAACAAAATTGTTAAAAGGGTTAAAACATAGCAAAGATCTTTGAGAAATTTAGGGTAGATAGCTCTTGGTTACTTGCCAACTTGCAAAACAAAAACACTTGCCTATTTTTCAAAACCACACATCACAATACTTTCAAAACAACTTTCAAGAACATTGAAAACTTTTCAAAAGACATACACCTTTGTATACATCCCAACATGGATCATTACAAAGGTTGCCACCACATTGGCCACTTTTCAAAACATTTTCAAAACCACACACAAAGCACCATTTCAAACAATTGAAAGCACCATTTCAAACAATTGAAAATCAAGGCAAGTTGATATAAGAAAGTAACTAAGAGCCCATGGATAACCATGGATAGAAAGGGTGCTAATACCTTACCTTTCTATAATCTACTCCCCGAACCCAAGAAAACATCTCAAAGGTTTTTGCTGTGCTTTTTAACCTTTCCTTAGGATAAAATAAAAAGTCGGTGGCGACTCTTGCTCAACCGAAACATTTGCGAAAACAAACGCAAAACCCAAGTCAGTTCTCCCACCGTATCACAATGGGCCTAGTTTTTCATGATTTAATCTTGCTTGTGACATGGTCCATGACTCAAATCAGCATCTACACTTTATTTGCTTCATTATTTATTTTATTTTGATTTTTTATTATTTAAAATTCAAATTAAATCAAATAAATAGCAAAAAATACAAAAGATTGATTTTTGATATGATTTTTTTTGTAGGAATCAAATCCAATTATGTTGGCAAATCATATCAAATCAGATCAAGGCAAATTGAAGCGAAATTGGCATGATTATGCTTGTTTTAGAAATATATCATACAGGAATCTGAAGTGAAAAAATTCAGAAGGATGCCTCTTTGAGTGCTGCAAGGAAGCCATTTGCAGGTAAAAAGGAAGTCAGTGCTGTCTACAACCAAAAGAATCAGAATCGAACCGAGCGCCGTCCGACGGTAGGGGTGTTGCACCCCAAAATTTGCCCTCCTAATTTCCTGTATTTTTGGCTTAGACTTTTGCATTCATCTGCACATTTTTCATTAGGTCCCTAACATGGCATACATTTTATTCAATATAGCTCTGAGGTTCAAAGTTCAGTGGTTGTGCGATACTAGGGTTTCATAGTGGTTAAGGCGCTCATATCTAATAAATGACTTCTTCTCCCTCAAGCAGCAAGGCTATTATCTTCTGATAAACAACCGATTGTAGGTCATTCTGGTCAAGAACTCTAGGACGTGACCTAGCATATGTGGGCTTCGAATCATGACGTCCTTTCCTATAAGTATGCTTGTCATTTGATTAGGATTAATGACTGTGACATGACAATCGTCTACTCCTCAGTTAATCAAATTAGGTTTTTGTTGAATCATGGTTCAAAGATGTTTTATCCGGATATTTCTCTGTGCGTCTAAACGAGGAATCAAGATTGTGAGGGTTTCACATCAAGGGAATTCTTCTGTGATTCAGACTTTATCATCCATCTGTAAGATGTTCCTTATGACACTAATCTCAAGTTGAAATAACCGATCACTAAGGGATGAGGATTGAATTGTGAAGCGTGGTTCTTGACCTAAGATATGAATTCATAAGATTTCTCCTTAACCAAGGCAAATCATTGTCATTTGTTATCTACAATGTGAGTAGGTTTGGATTGAAGTAGGTTTCTCATAGAAGAATTCATGCAAGGTAATGCAAGGTTCAAGGCATTCAAGGCAGGGTTTGTTCGACATGGCATACCTGGTTGATGGGCTTACAAGATCTTATGAGACCTTGAGATGCATAATCATGGGTCAATTTCAAAGATATGTGGATAAGATCTGTTGACTTCGGTTAAAGTAAGCTTTGAAAAATTAACTTTGGGACCAAGGTCCCCCTTGAATTTTCATCTAATATGTGTTGTTAATTCGAGTTGCATTTGAAGAATGGTATGGTAAAGGAAAAGAAATATTGGTTCAGAAAAGAAAAAATTCATTAAAAATCAGGGTTTCTATTCATTGATAAAAGTTCAAGTAATTGAAGATCAGGGGAAATAAGGTTTCATATTAATCTTGATCATATTCTTTCATTATCATTTACATCCATCTTTGATGATTTAAGGTCGTCAATTAGGGAGGACTTTGTCAAGATAAGAGACTTGTGGATTGAATCGTGGAATATGAGGCATGATACAAAAGGCAAGGTTGTGAATTTTTTAGGATCAAGATCTTATTGACTATTCAAATTATTTGTCATTCAAGTTGATCTGGGTTCAAGATTAAAGTTAAGAGTTCATTGAGAATGCAAGTGTGATTTGGATTTGAAGTTTGATTTGAGTTCAAGATGTTCAAAAGTGTTTGATTGGATTAAAGTTGGCAAAGAGCCTTAAGTATTGGTCATATGAGTTTCTTGGAAGGTAAAGTACAGACTGCGAGGTCTTGTTGCAAGTCGGAGTTCATACGCATTACAAAGACGTTCATCGTTATTCCAGATTCAAGTTGACATGTGTTCAAAGTTTATTCGAACCCTTTCATTCATGATTCAAGAAAATACTATCCAATTCCATTCAATTTCATTCAAGTGTAACAATACCTTACAAGAAAATTTGATGCTTTCATGTCTTCAAACATTTTCTCAAGACTTTAACATTTAAACTCCATCCTTAAAATTCATCACCCAACATTTCAAGCTCAAAGGTCATTTACAATTCACACTATAAATTTCAAGTTCATCCAAACCAAACATTCATTATAAAATCATTACGATCCCATTACACCAATATTCTACAAAGAAAAAAAAACTGTTACAAAATACACTTGAACAAAATTCTTTAGTCCTAAAGGTGCTAAAATTCCATGAGTAAACTTCTAATTCCATGCCATGCCAAAGTTCTTCATCTTCAGTTCATGACCTGCACATTCATACAAAAAAAAAATCCAAGTCAATACAAGCAATCATACCAAAATACCCCCATTCCCACCGCTACCCTCATTTCACACAGTATCACAAAAAAAGCTGCCTCCTCCTCGTATCAGCCAGTTATGCCCGATACGAAGTCTCAATTTGGTTTTACAGCTTCTGATGGAAATACCCTATTTCATCAGAATCCATTTTTGCCAATCATGGCTTTGGAAAGTGATAAGCTCCAACATTCTTCTGCCGTAGGTGTTTCAGGGCATCCAGTTGCTTTACCTATTCAGTTTCCTATTGTGGTTAATGAAGCAAATGGTCAGTATGGTCAGCATAATTACCTAGTGCTGGACATAAACTAGATTCAGAACCCCGTATTAACGCTGCCCGTGGTACCTACGAGCATGCATCCACCACTTGGTTAGATTGTTGCTTCTGATGGAGAAATGGTACATACTTCAAATCCTTACGCACCAATACTACCTGCTGCTTATACTGCATCTGGACATGATTCCTCATCTCCACAAGTGGAGCCATTTCAGCGTCCAACTCAAGTAATGACAGAGAGCAGTGCAGATGATAAAACCCTTGAGCAGCCTATGCATAATGTAGTGTGTGGTGATGGGCCTCCAAACAGTCATGTTATTGCTTCAGATGGAGAAATGGTACATAATTCAAACCCACTCCTTTCACTACCATATGTCGAATGTGCTAACTCAGAACATGATTCCATCTCTCCTCTGGCAGTGTGTGTAATCAAGCTACAAAAGGCATTTACCCGGATTTTGCTCTTGAAGCCATACTTATGAGCGCACCTCCTATTTCCATTTTCTTAATGGATCAGGAAAGGCTTCGTAATTTTATCATTTGGGCAATTACAACTGCGTTAGCGTCGGATTCTGCACAAAGGTTGAGGTCTAACGAGTCTCGCATTTTTGTCAACAAAAAAAAAGAACTAGGAAAAGAGTCTCGTGATGACTCCTTAGTGTCAAAATTTTTGCGTTGGTTAACAGCATCAGTAATCAATGGGAAGCTTCATCAAAAATCTAATGATATATATTCAAGGTTTACAGAAACACATAAGCTAGAATCCCTGCATTCTTTACTGGTGCATGTAGAAAATACCTCAGAGCAAAGACAGATCCAGATGATTACTGCTTTACTTATCCAATTAATTCATTGTAGTGCTAACCTTCCTGATTCTTTAAGACAAGCATCGATTAGTAATTCTGTATTGGAAATCCCGGTTGATGCTAGTTATCAAGCTAAATGCCGCGATGCAGTAACAGAAGCCTGCTCCTATTTTTGGACCCGTGTACTTCAGCAACTTGCAAGTGTAAAGACTCAGGATGCTTCTGAATTGAAATCCACAATGGAGAATCTTGTTACTGATTTATTGACCACTCTAAATTTACCTGAATATCCTGCTTCAGCTTCTATTCTAGAGGTTCTATGTGCCATACTAATTCAGAATGCTGGGACAAGTTCCAAGGATTTTGCTTCACGTTCCATGGCAATTGATATTCTTGGCACTATTGCGGCAAGGTTGAAGCATGATGCTGTGATTTGTAGCCAGGAAAAGTTTTGGGTACTTCAAGATTTACTTAGTAAGGATGCTGCTCCTCAGAATTATCAGAAAGATACATGTTGTGCCTGTTTGGGTGGAAGGGCTGAAAATTTGTTCCCATGTTCTGGCTGCAGTAGGCTTTTTCATGCTGAATGCCTGGACATTGAAGAAGATGAAGTTCTCAATCAGAACTGGTACTGTCACATGTGCATCTGCTCAAAGCAACTGGCTGCTGAAGGAATTGTTTGTAGGACAGAAGCTTGAAGAATGGGAAACAGAAGATTAATTAACAACTCTCTAACTACCTCCAAACAGAATTCCCAACTAGCATAACCACCTTGTAACCAACTCTCAATCTCACCCTTCAATCCCTAACAAACTCTATCCAAATCAATGGTTCAGATTGATTCCCACATAACCATTTCCTCCCTCAATTACCTATATAATCCAAACTCCCTCCAAGTTTGAGGGAACGACGATACTTTCTCTTTTCCAGTTTCAAACTTCATCCTCTCTCCACCATTTTTTTTCTATCCTCTTCCATCAACACGCTTCATTTTTCACCCAGAACTCAAAAAGTTTTCGGAATTCTCTCTCTTTCTTCTCTAACCAATACTCTTCACCCTTCAAGCCACTCTTCATTTTTACTTACTTCTGAAACCCTGCTTCATCTTCATCAAATCATCTCTCTGTAAACTCAAATCACACTCCTACGATCTCACTCAAACACAACTCACAACGACAACCGCAACAACACCAACATACAAATCATCAACAATTTTCACAAAAGAAATAGAAGAAAAAGAAGAAGAAGTCGTGCAAAGAAGTTAAGAGATATTGTACCTGAAACTTCTTCAGATTTTTCGTTGTCGGCATCACCCTCGAAGAGACACCGGGTGCCTTCTCCGGTTGGTAAGCTTTCTTCAATCTTTCATTCTACATTTTATGTTCTTTGTCGAAGAATGAAACTTGAATTTTAGTCCGCGAAGAAGTTGATGGAAGAGAGACGTGTGAACCGAGGCGGATCAAAAACGAACAATGAAGAGAGGAGCAGAGGTTTGAGATACGAGTGAATTGTGAAACCAAAGTAGAAAGAACGAGTCAGAGGTGTGATTCGGCACCATTGAGGGAAGAGGAAGAGGACTTTGTTTCTCTTGAGGTCTAACCGTCACACGATTTGGGAACCCTGGGAACAAAATCACGCCATTCATTTGTTTGTTGTATTTTTCTAATTCCTTTTATTGATAACAGTGGAGATACACGAAGCTGAATAAAAGGTGGATGGATCTTGGTATGATCTTAGTGGACCGAGGTATACACCATTCAGGTCCATGGCCATTATTTTCGGGAGTTGGTTTTTGGTGAGGTATAAAATATTGGGTTGGGCCTACGAGTCAATGTTACTACAATACACACCCTGCTTCAGACTCACACACCCCTGTGTAGAGTTTTTCTGGCTTTTCTTTAGCCTTTTCTTTTCATAGTCGTTAGATAACAATTTTGTTAATAAAAATATTGATATAATAAAAACCTAAAAAATGTTAGATTGTAAGAGATATTTTTAGAAATTAATTCTTGATTATCCGATTACTCGAGACTCGTGATTCACTTTTGTTTTTGGAGATTTGAGTCTTATGCATGCTTATTGTGTGATATACGGATATGCTTGAGGTTTCGATTGTGATTTATTTTCACATCAATGATGCTTCAATACTTATTCCGAGCATTGGATTTCTAATTCTTTTCTTTGTTGATGCTAGCAGCTCATGAGATCATCAAGTTTCTTTGCTTTTTACTTTGTTCTACGAGCTAGTACTCGTTTGGTATATTTTATTTCCACTCTCACCTCACATTTATCACTTCCCATAGATTGCATGGTATGATAACATTAGATTTAGAAATAGGCTAGTCTTCCTGTGACTTTCGTCTTCCTGTGACTTTCGTCTTCCTGTGACTTTCGTCTTCCTGTGACTTTCGTCTTCCTGTGACTTTCGTCTTCCTGTGACTTTCGTCTTCCTGTGACTTTCGTCTTCCTGTGACTTTCGTCTTCCTGTGACTTTTGTCTTCCTGTGACTTTCGTCTTCCTGTGACTTTCGTATTCCTGTGACTTTCGTCTTCTTGTGACTTTCGCCTTCCTGTGACTTTCGTCTTCCTGTGACTTTTGTCTTCCTGTGACTTTCTTTCCTCCTTTGCATATGCAGTTAAAACAAAAAACTTTTCTTACAAACTTCAAAAATACATAAAAATTTACTGACAAAAACCATGTCTTGGCTAAGTTTGAGAGATGATGAGCGGGTTTCTTCTCGACATTATTATTCTCTTGTTCTAAGCTTTGGTATGATTCAAGTCTCAAAGACTCATTTCATGAATAAATAGAGAAATGGATAAAATCTCTCTCTTGAGGTTAACTAGCTATTATCTACAAGCAAAAACACCAACAAACATAAAAATCTTTTTGCCCTCGGGCCTTTCTTTCAAACCCTTTTCAAAAGAGCGTATTAATTCACTTCTGTGCTGACGCGTAAATCTCCAAAGGTCGAGTTGCGGCAGAAGGCGAGATTAATACTGTTTGTTAAAGAAAATACAAACAAACAAAAACATATAAGCCGAACTACGGCTGCTCTGATTCCTTAAAAGGGATACGTAGGCATCGGGGTAGGGCCCGAACGAGCACAATTTTATTTTCCCTACATTCTTTTCCCCTTTCTTTTGCATGCATTCTCCCCTTGGCAGTAATAAACAGTAAGCATAGATTAAACACACCCATAAGATAGATAACAAGAGTGGATACCGTAGAGTACTACGGGCGTGTGGGGTGCTAATACCTTTCCCTCGCGTAACAGACTCCCTTACCCTTATCTCTTGGTCGTTCGACCTTGGTTTCATCCTTCTCGGGTTTTCTCGATGTTTACCTTTCCCTTCATGTGGGATAAAAGACGTTCGATGGCGACTTCATTGTTTGATGATTTTCAGCCGGTTGTTTTCAGCTGGCGACTTCACTGGGGACTGGTCGACCAAATGCTGGTCCATCCCGGAGTCGCTCCTAGCTCTTGCTTTCTTTTCTTTGGGTGTTTATTTTTATGCTTTCAGTTTACTCATTTGTACATGTTTTCCTGAGCATAAGTTTGCATTGCATTTTATTGCTTTCCCTATTTGTTATCTATTATGCTGGACTCTGTTTTCCATGTTGGGTGGGGATGTCACTATTGAGGTAAAAGGCCCAGTACCCAGGCCAGAGTGCACTAGGACACTAGGAATAGAGTGGGGTCATGACGGCTATAGGACGTGGTCCGATTAGTGCAGTCTTGTTATATACCACGCTCAGATGAGGTTCAAATGAATTACTATCGGCACCCATGTCTGTGGGTAAGCCCATAGTGCTTTCAGGCGGACCCGTGATTTTCGAGTTACCATTGTCTTACCCTGAACTAGTCTTCACCCGTGAGCAGGGAGGGAATTTTATCACAGGTACAGTTGGTGACTATGTTCAAATGGTTACTCGTGCTCAGTTGGTGACTATGTTCTGATAGTGACTGTTGTTCTGTTGGTGACTATATGGGTCTCAGATTTATTTATTTTTTGAGTTTCCGGATTCGGTATTCAGGATGCTTATCTAGTTATGTTCCGGACCTTTGATCCTGATATATTCCATTTGGTCAGAGATTATACAACGTTTAATCATGGTACTTGGTTCCATTGTATGCTGAATTTGGTTCTGAACCTTGGATCCTGTGATATCCATATTATTCAGCAGATTTATACAGCAGTTATCCAGAGGATTGTACAATTGTTATGCCGAACTTTTGAACTTATGTCATTGCACCTTGCATCATAACATGTTTATTTTACATAAAAAAGGAAATGTGAAAGATTATATGCAAAAAAAAAATGTTTGAACATGGCATTGCATCCGCTCATTCACCTCCTGCATCCATAGCAGGTACTCCGAAGGTATTCAGAAAGGGGGAATCCTTATTCAGACTCGGTATTTTCTTTTCAGAGCTGCAAATCTTGACTTCTCGTCGCTTCGTGGTCAGATTCAAGATATGGAACAACTTCGTGGGGAATTGGACGAGATGAAAGAACAGATGGGATTCGTGGTACTAGACATGCAGGATTTGGTCCGTGGACAAGAACTCCTGAAAGAAGAGAACACTAAGTTGAAGACTCAATTGAATTTGGTTATGGAAATTTTGGGGACAATGTTGAAGAAAGAAGATGTTTCTATGCCTGCCACAATAGGAGTTACCATTCCTCCCCATAACCTGAGGACTCTTGTAGGTCAGGGAGTATCTCCTCCGCAACCGTGCATTCAAGGACCCTCCCATCCGCAACAAGTTGTCACTTCCCGAGAGGACCCAAAAGGCAAAGCCCGTCAACAGAGGCCAAAATAGCCTGAACGAAAATTTGATCCTATTCCAATGTTGTATGCACAATTGCTTCCTCCCCTGCTAGAATTACATTTGGTCAAACTCCGAATTTTCACTACACATGAAAAACTCCCTCATGGCTTTGACGACAATGCTAGGTGCGATTTTCATTCTAGGACACCTGGTCATGATACTGAAGATTGTGTAGCTTTTAAGCACCAAGTCCAGGACTTGCTTGATGCAGGGACAATTCTCTTCACTCCCGAAGGTCTGAGTGTGCAAATCAATCTTATGCCAACCACTACAAAGAATAGGGCTACGCCTTCTCCTCTTCAAAGTTCTATCTCACGATCGGAGTCACGTCATCCACAACCTATAATCCCGGAAAGTTCTCACCAGCAGTCGTTTGTAAGTTATGGAAATCAGTTGGTTAATCAAAACCAGAATGTTCCTCGTGTTCACTTGGCTCAGTGTGCTACTCGGCAACAAACCTATCAACAAAGACATACGCAACAAGGTAAGCAAAAGGATAAGAAGCCTAAGAGGGTGTTCGACACTGTTCCTTTGACTTATGGCCAGCTGTTCTCTCAGTTACTCAAGCTTTCCTTGGTGGAACCCAAGCCACTGAAGCCTGTTATTCCTCCTTGTTCTACGGATTCCAATCCTAATGTGCAGTGTGATTACCATGCTGGGGCACTAGGTCATTCCATTGAAGACTGCTGGGCTTTCAAAGAAAGTGTGCAAGACCTGCTTGATGCAAAGGCTATCAATTTTGGGCCAGTCAGTTAAATTTAAGGTCTCCTTTGACTCAGTAAATGTCAAGATTGCCAGATCATCATCTGAAGCAACAAGTCCATACCGAGACTGGTCTCCTCAACGTAGTAATTTCTAGTT